CTGAGGCATGAGAGATTAGGCCCAATGTGAACAGAATTCAGCTTCCCAGCAAGCACAACCTGTCACCAGGACTGTGGGTTCCTACAGGCACCTGTGACAAGCCTTCAGTTCACAACAATTAGTAGCTACCAACTGTGAGAACGCTCCTCCATTTTGGAGGGTGACTAGGGGACGGAGAGCAAAGAGGAGCAAGGTGGCTCAAATTGCAGTCCCCACATTTCCTTCCAAAGGTCAAAAGATGCCTAGAAGCAGCATCTCTGTCTAGGATATCTGAACTGGGAACATGGGGTCTGCAGCAGCTCCTGCCAGGCTAGTTCCCTGAGAGCACAACCACCTGTCAGTGTGATGGACTGTGCCAACGAGGATCAAAGGGTAACCTACCTAAATCTCCTGCAGACTAGCCAAAGGCAAGTTTGTTAAAGTGAAGTCCTGCAAATGAAGTTTGTAACATAGGGCTACACAGAGCTACAAAAGCTCTGTGCATGTCACTTCCTTTTCTCCTTGAGGATTAGCTGTTTGTTTAGACCACACTGCACATGGGATGCGAACACACTATCCCTCCAATTCTGGACAGGAAGGGACTAAATGAGAATACTAATGGGAGACAGGACAGGGAAGAAACAGATTTATTGGCTGCTGAAGCCAAAAAGGAGAGGGCCTCTCAGCGTATTATGAAACAGCAGCAGGCTGAGGCGCTTCTCCTCCAGTGCCTGTGAAGGTAACTAGATAGAGGAGGGAAACCAGGCTGGTTGGGAGAAGAGTTGAAATCCAAACACTTCTGGCTGCTCCATAATGAACACTGCTGAGTTTGCATAGCTTGGTACAATTTTTTTTTCACTGGTTTAGAAGCCAGATTTGGATCACAAACTTAACCTGCTACCCAAATGCACAGGCAATCAGAACTACCTGTTTTCCTTCACTGAGCCCTGGTCAACATGCCTAAGGCCCACAAAAAGTGGTCACTGAAGACAAAGGCCCAAGTGGACAGGATCAGAATCCTCCTTAAGTGGTACATAATGTTGGCAGGCAACATGCACATGCAAGGGACCCTACACTACCCTCCTCAGGACACTTGTAGCTTCCTCAAATGTCACTTCCATTTCCATTGGCTGCTTCTAGTGTTGTCAGCTGCAGGGATGGGGATGACTCATCGACTATCCAATAAGCAAAAGCTTATCAGATAGTCGACACACTAGTTGCTCTCCCTCCCTCGCCTTGCTGCCTGTCTATCAGAAAGAGGCGGAGGGAAGAGGAGGGGGCATTTCAAAGTGGCAGCGCCACATGGAACCTAGGACCAGCTGGGGACTGCCCCCTACTGATGCTCTGAAACGCCGCAGGGAGTATGGGGCAAGTGGGGGACTGCTTGAGTCCCCCGCTTGCTCCGTGCTCCCCGCAGCATTTTCGCCTTTGAAGTGTAGCAACAGTCCTGGAAGGTGGAGGTGCTCTTATCAACTAATCAAATAGTCAGTGCAAATTGGATCGACTATTCAATTAGCCAATTAATCTAAATTTAACATCCCTAGTCAGCTGAGGAGTCAAGGACTTCTTCAGCCCCCTGCTCCAGAGTAAGAGCACTGGAAGGTTGCATGTGTGGAGAACATGGAATGAAAGAGAAGCAAGTGACTAAAGAGTAGATTCAAAAGGAAAAAGAGGAGAGGAGAGGAGCTCAGGTTTAAATTGGGACTCTCAGTCATTTGCTTCATACACGGGAAGAGTTAGAAATTCACATGGCTTATGATTCTGGTTTCAAAGAGCTTCTCTTAAAAAAACAGGATCTCCTGGTCCTGCCCAATCCAACAGAGTTTAAATCAGGTTTGGTTTGGTTTGGTTTTTTTAAATCTGCTTCTAGACAAGTTACCCTTTCCTCCACCTCCCAAAGATCACTAGCTGACACTGTCCAGGTCAAAAGGCTCTTCTAAATCAGCCATGAGAGTAGGAAGGTAAATAATCCAGCACATAAGTAGCTCAAAATAAAGTTGAGCCATGAAACCTGAATCATCATTGTCTGAGGCTTTTTCTACACTTAAAAGTTTAAAGTGCATCCACAGCAGCACTTTAAACTGAAAGTGTGGCCAAGGCACCAAGAGAGCTCTCCCAGCACTCTATGTTAACCACCTTCACAAGGGGAGTAGCTAACAGCGTTGGGAGTAGCCTGGTTCACTCTGGCGCTTTACAGAGCTGTACTGCACTGGGAGGGGAGTATTTTTTCAACCCCCTCAGCCAGAAAGTGCTAGTGTAGATTTATCTCACACACACATCCTTTCTGCATACAGCAGGCTAAGAAAACAGTTAATCATTAAGGTGGTTTCAAGAACCTAATGAACCCATACAGTCCATTGAGTACAATGTCCAGCTGTTTGCACTTGGAGAGGAAGAGGATGTCTGTATTTGTGCAAGTTTCATCATGAAGTTGATGGATTTCCACTTCATGCAGCTAATGCAAAAAGCTTATGCCCTATTAAATCTGTTAGTCTAAGATGCCACCGGACTCCCTGTTGATTTTGCAAATGAAGACCGACACGCCTGTCCTCCTCCCCCAGACTAATGAACCCTAGCAGCTTTATCAGAGAAAAAATATCCCTAACAATAGCTCTTCCACTTCCTCCTTGCAGGTTCCCTCCCACCCCCCCAACAAATAAAAACCACACAAACACTAAGCAGAACATAAGTCAAGCTTGTCATTAGCAATGAAATGTTGCCTGTTTATACACTGTGCTAAAAATGGACATAGCCCAGAAACTTAAAAAAGGGAGATAGTTTATATGAACAGTAGGTGGAAGGGAATATAGAATATAGGCACAATAAAATGAAAAAAACCCAGGCTTAAAGGGACTACTGAATTACATGTTACACGATGTAATCAATACATCCCTCAAACCTATTCAGTTCATACAAAAAGCCTTTTTCAGAGGCAAAATGATAGTGGCAGGCTAGCTCCTCTCAAATGACAGAAATAACCCCAATGCTTATATAGAACTTTTCATCTCTATTCCTCAAAGCATAT